GGGGGGGGGGGGGGGGATCGGAAGGGAGGCGGACGGAGGCACGAAATGACGTTCGAAAACACGCGTACTGTACAGCGAGAGAAGTGGGTTCACGCCGGAACACACCACAAGAGGGACAACACACCCATCCACGCCCTGCTACATAAACAACGCACACGGCCAGGAGGTGATACTTATACATAGGTTAGGCCAAGGGCGCTACTGCAACTGAACGGGAAACTCAGGAGCAGAACCCATCAAGAGCCGCAAGTATCACTCAACCACGCCGTGGATAGGGCAACCAAAGCTTGGTGTGTGTCTGCAGGTATCGCTTCAATTAGAACCGACCGCGCCGGCCCGCTTACGAAATGACAGAACCGAACGTCAAAGATATTACAGCGGAATATGCGAAGATGCTTGCGTGTGTGTCGGCAAATTTGATTAGGATTTTCGTTCCTGGATTCTTTTGAGGGTGGAAGCAACCGAGAGAGTCCAGCGTTCAGAGTCGCCACCACTTGCAGGTAGGGAAAGCCTTGCAGCAAAGCCAAAGCTTGATCGGGATGCTTTTGAAAGAGCGTAGTCAAGACGTGGAAAGCGTTATGACGAAAAACTGTCAGGGCAAGCCAAAGCTTGTTTGGGCGTATTTTCAAAGCGGCAACCAAACCTTGAAAAAAAATCGTTTCGGGGAGGAGTCTCACCTTCCAGCACGCCACACGGCCAGGTCCGACACCATTCCCGCGGCCTTTCCGTACAGGTACAGCTGAGGCTCGAAGCGAGAGTACCAGCTCTCGCTGTGGTGGACGAAACCACCCCATTGGCGAACAAAGAACCAACAGAAAAACAAAACGTGAATCCAAGGCACACGCTCGGGTATTTCCGCGAAAGTTTACGCATACGAGCAACATGTCCATCGCTAGGAGAATTTGCGGGGTGCCGTAGGTGGCGTTTGTTCACGTATGTGTAAATAGTAGCAGCACAGCAGTACTGCTTTCAGGCTCAAGGGAACAGAAAGGATCGTTGAATGTTTCGAGTCAGAGATTTAGCGACCCCCAAAACGAAAAGTCACTGTAAAATAATACCACCCAGTTGGAAATACTTCGAAAGAAAGCTAATGAAGCGATTTTGTACCAGCGCACGAAACAAAGCCCCCCCCCCCATCCCCCTCCATCTGCTGAGCACCCTTGATATTGCCGGTTGGGTGCTGGTCCAGTACAGAACCTCTAGCTGAACCGAACTCCTCACCTTCGTCGGCATCGAAGGGAGCGGGGGGGGGGGGGGTACTCATAGTCGTGCATGCCGTAGTCGTTAGACCATTGACCTCGCATCCCTACAAAGCCGGGACGGAGCACGCCGGGT